CCTGCACAGCCCCCAGACACTGTCAATCTGGCTGCCAGGGTGGCCGCTGCTGGAACTGTTGAGTTCAAGGTCACACAACTGTAGCTATGACTTGAGGACTGGGAAGCCACGGCCACCCGACTAGACTTTACACATTGCTGCGGCAGCAGCTGACATTTCTGAAAGCATGCATGCCAGCAGCAGGAGAAAAACAGCCTCTGCCTCACTCACAATTCAAAGCCCACAGGTGAGGGGACATCCACAGGGCAGAGCCTAATTTCTGTCCAGTCCCTAACTGTTCTCTAACGTCTGCAGTCCTGGAAGGCAGGCTGGAAGGGGTGGCAGCAGACACCACGTGAGCCAGTCTGCCGAGTACACCCTATCTACCACACCAGGGGAGAATCGCCAGGGGAGCAAACCAAACTGGTGTTGTTGGCTCCAGGAGAAGTGTAGTGCAGTTTGATAGTGCAATGTGACATGAAGAGGACCTCAAGGTACTGGAGTCTTCTCCTGGTGGAATCACACAGGATGCACTTAATTCCTCCAGCAATGAGTTGTGGCAACCATGTGAAGTTTTGTCTAATAGGGACAGCCATTAGTGACACAGTACCCAGGGTTTTTACTGGGGTCTGGTCACGTAGGCACCCTCTGCCTGACACATGTCCAAAATCCAGACTCCCAGAAGGAGAGCAGATGTTGGTCATAAACTACACTGTTTGTGTAGACAGCCTAGGCCTGTCTTCTCCAGGCTACATCCTCACCCCGGCTCTACACCTGGCACCAAGAGGCCCTGTATTGATAAGAGCAGGTCGACTGTAATCCCACAGCTCAGCCAATCATTTGGGTTGAATTGTGCCCCACAAGAAGATGTGTTCAAGTCCTAACCCCTGGGGCCTGTGAATGAGCACTTGATTGGGAATAGGATCTGTGCAGATGTCATCAAGTTAGAGGAGGTCATCCTGGATTAGGGTGGACCCTAATCTAATGATCAATGGCCTTGTAAGATGTAGGAAATTTGAACACAGAGATACAAAGTAACACACAGGGAGAAGATGACCATGTGAGGACAGAGACAGAGACTGGAGTGATGCAGCCACAAGCCAAGGAATGCCTGGAGCCACCAGAAGGCAGAAAAGGGTCCTCCCCTAGAGCCTTCAGAGGAAGCACAGCCCTGCCATACCTTGATTTCAGACTTCTGGTCTCCAGAACTGCGAGAGGATGAATTTCTGTTGTAAGCCACCCAGTTTGTGATTGTTGGTTATGGCAGCCCCAGGAAGCTAATATAGTCCTGAATCTCAGAATCCCCCTTTGATCCTTGACACTCCCACTCTACCAGTTGGAGACCAGGGCTTGAGGTTCAGCTGCTGGCCATGTGAGGTACACTGGTTGATGTTTACTGCCATCACCCCCCAGCTACTTGGAACCATCTCCAGCCTGGATTTATTGAGTTCAACCTTTGGGACCTTTTAAACCAACTTAGGGCACTCCACTACTCAGGCAAAGAATCAAGATGCAACATGGATATCTGAGAGGATGCTGTGCAGCCCTCAGCCCCCTGGGGCTGCTAATGGCCCCTCCTGGGACTTGGCTGAGTCAACACACCACCCAAGTATGGCAATTGTGTGCAATCCCACTTCGCATCCATATCCACCATCTGCCCCGATTGTTAGACTAGGTATTTCCATCTGTGACCAGAGAACATTGGAGAAGCAAACCTGATTGCAGGAAATTGCATGCAGCTTGGAATGAAAAACTGCAAAGTAGGAACAGCCTCCTAATCACATGGGAGAAGATCAGAATAGGGTTGTTTGCAGCAGAGCCATGAGCTGTAAACACTTGCATTCAGGATGAGAGCAGCTGGCACATTCCAGAGGTAGAAAGGACTCACTTCCATGTCACAGTTTTTCCCCTTTTATTTGATGCATAAGCTTCTAGGCATCCAAAGACCTTTGGAATTTGTGTCTTTTGCTTAGAAGTTTGAATGTGAAAAATGCTTTACAGGAAACTGTATACCAATATTGGCTACTCTAGTACAAAATGTTTCTGGAAGCACAGTCCTCTAAGTTTTTTCTTCAGAATTTTTCAAAATACTGGTTAGAAAGTGGTGACTCCTTAGCTCAGAGCAGTCCAATTCAAGTAGAGTGCAAGCCACAGAGTTAATATTAAATTTTCTAGTAACCACATTAAAAAAGTAAAAAGAAACCAGTAAAATGAATTTTAATAAGGTATTTTAATTAACCTGATATATTCAAAACATTATCATCTTAATGATAATATATTATCATATTTATCATCAATATAAAAGGTTATTAATGAGGTGTCTTACATTTTGGGGGGAACTAGATGTTTGAAATCCAGTCTATATTTGACTCTTAAAGCACATCTCAATTCAGACTTGTCACATTTCACATGCTCAGTACCACAGTGGATGGCACAGCCTTAGTACCCACTTCAAATCTGCTGTCTTGAAAGACTTTTTGGGGGAATAGAGCACTTGTCCAGGAGTTAGAAGGATGAATTCAAGTCCTGAGTCTTCACTGAGTGGTGTACTTCCTCTGAGGCCACCCAACAAAATGAGGAAAATATTAGTCCTGCTGCGATGATGCGCCAGGGTAGAGCAGGGACTGTATGGCTCTGGAAACCAGACTCCCTGGATCCAAATCCCAGCTGTGCCCTGTCCTGGCAGGGTGACCCTGGGCAGGGAGTCCTCGTGTGGGAAATTCTACCAACCTCATTAGCACTTCGTGAGCACTGAATGACATGTAGCGTGGCCAGAACCGCACCTGGCCCACAGTCAGTACTTGAGAAACACTCAACAGCTTACAAAAGGGCTCTGCTCCAAAAATACATCATCATGCAGTTCTGGGACCTACCCAATATGATTGTCCATGCCAAGAGCCATCTGTGGTCAGTGACACCCAGAGCCAGCTTCCCCTATTGAACCTGTGAAAACTTTACAGATATGCTTAAACCCAGCCCAAGCTTAGAAACATGTCTGCTACCAAAACATTCACTTCTCTTTGAGCAGTGTCTTTTATGGGTTGAATGGTGTCCCCCCCCCAAATTCACATGTCAAGGTCCTAACCCCCAATAGTACCTCAGAATATGACTTTATTTGGCAATAGTGTTGTTGCCAATGTAATTAGTTAAGATGAGGTTATCTTGGACTAGGGTGGGCCCTAATGCAGCATGCCTGGTGCCCTCATAAGAAGGGGAGATGTAGACACAGTCACGCACCTGGCCAGAACACTGTTTGACAGTGAGGGCAGAGATCAGGTGATGCCTCTGCAAGTCAAGGAATGCCAAGGATTGCTGGCAAACCACAGAAGCAAAGAAAGGCATCTTTGTACCCACTGGTCACCTGTCTTAGCCCCTTGATAACATGATAGGATGTGTTATGTAGCTTTGGACACATAGTCTGGTCCAGCCGTTCTCAAAGTATGCTCTGAAGAACCCTGGAGTTCTGCGACCTTTCATGGCAGGGGGCGGGAAGGACTGTGAGTTGCTCCCTTTTCCAGCAACATATCTTTGAGACCAGGGGTTTAACACATATACTTCAAGATTTTTTTATATTGATGACATGTTGAAATGATGATATTTTGAATATGTTGTATAAAATCTTATTAAAATTAATTCTACCTGTTTCATTTTGCCTTTTCATGTGGTACTTGAAAATTTTAAATTACATATGTGGCCTACATTGAAATGGCACTAAAAAAAACCCCAGCAAAAGCTATTGGGGGTCTTCAACAATATTTAAGAGTGTAAAACGGTCCTGAGACCAAAAGGTTTGGGAACTGCTGGTTTAGCCTCTTCTTCTGCAGGGTTAGGTGTGAAAGTCAACTCCAAAGTCAAGACCACGTTGAGTCAAAATGCTCACAATGCCTCAGGAAGGCACCGTGAAGGAGACTGGCACCCTGGCTTTCGGGGAGTCCTGGTGACCACGTGCCTTTAGTCCTGGAGGAGGCTGCTGTTTATGAGGTGGAGCCCCAGACACAGTGGCCAGCTGTGCATGACAATCTGATCATTTTGTGGGACTATGAAATGTTCTCACTGTGGATGCATTTAGAGACTTGAGGAGCCCCAGGTTCATGTGCTCCTGTCTCAGGCTTGCTCTGGATAAATGCACTAAACATCATCGAGTCACACTTTGTCCCACCCCCTCTTTTCCCAAATGCAAAAGTTGATTGTGCATCAGCCAGTGGATCTCGAAGCATCACCCTCACATCAGCAGCATCACGCAACAACTTGTAAAAGTTGCAGATTCTTGCACCCACCCAGAACCTACTGAACCAGACTTCCTGGGGGCAGAGCCCCATGACCTGTTTTCCCAAGCCTTCCAGGGGATTCTGACTCACTCAGATTTGAGAACCACTGGTATATAAGTTAAATGCATTTAAGAGGTAGCTCCCCTTGGACTTATTAAACTCCATGAGGAAATAATCAATGTGGGACATTCTACAAGAAATCTAGCCTGAAAAAACTAGACTTCAGAATGTCCATATCATGGGACTCTTCTCGATGAGGGAGATGAAGCGATGGCACATGAAGAGTGTGAACCTTCACCGGGTCCTGGTCGGGGTGGGGAGGAAACAGCATAACTAGGAAATCAGATGATGTTATAGAATTAATATTCTTAGGTGTGATTATAGCAGCATGGTTTTGAGGAGAATGATGTCTTTATTCTTAAAAGATGCATGATGAAATATGATATGTGCATCTTTCAAGTAGTTTAACCCCCAATAAATGTAAATAGATAAAGCAAAATATGGCAAGTTCTTTTTTTTTTTTTTGTCTTTTTGTCTTTTTCCGTGTCCGGCAACGGATCGCAACCCTCAGTGTTGCCCCCGTACCGGACCGGGACTGGCAACGGGACCGCAGCCCTCGGCGCCGCTCCCGCGCCTCGCTCAGCCAGTGAGCGGGAACCGGTCTGTATGTGGGATCCGAACCCTCGGGCGGGAGCGCCGCCGCACTTCCCAAGCGGCGCACTATCCAGTGCGCCACCAGGCCGGCCCAAAATATGGCAAATTCTAATAATTGTTAAACCTAGATGGTTTTGAAAGGAATATTTTACTTTACCGCTCTCTCACCTTTTCTGTTTGAAATTTTTTTAAGTTGGGCACACAGAAAATGGTACACCTCCATTTCACTGCATTCTTAAGATGGAACTCCATGTGTGTACCAGTTAAGGTTAGGTTTAGCTGTGAGTAACAGAGACCCAAAATGACAGTGCCTTAACCAAGATGGTAGCTTATTTCCCTCTTATGTGAAAGTTCACAGGGAGGTGGTTAGGCAGGTATGATAGCTCTGATGCACGTTGTTTTCAGGACCGAAGCACCTTACATTTTATTGCTCCCCTATGAATAACCTCCCTGTCCTCATGGCCCAAGGTGGCTGCTTCAGCCCCAGCCATGGTAGCTACATTCCAGCAGACAAGAAGAAGAGGTAAAGGATACATTTCTGCTACTTTTTTTTTTTTTTCCTTTTTGTCTTTTTTCGTGACCGGTAACGGGATCACAACCCTTGGTGTCGCGCCCGTACTGCGACCGGCAACAGGATTGCAACCCTCGGTGTCGCGCCCGTACTGCGACCGGCAACGGGATCGCAACCCTCGGTGTCGCGCCCGCACCGCACTCAACCAGTGAGCGGACCGGTCTCTATATGGGATCCGAACCCTCGGCGGGAGCACCGCCGCGCTCCCAAGCGCCGCACTCTACTGACTGCGCCACCGGGCCGGCCCATTTCTGCTACTTTTAAGGACAACCCCTTGGAACTACTGCCAAACACTTATGCTTACTTACCTCTCCTTGGCCAAAGCTTAGTCATATGGCTGCAAGGGAGGCTGGGAAATGCCTTCATTTTAGGCAGCTGTGTGCCCACCCTAAAACTGGGCATTTATTACTGTGGAAATGGAAGGGTAATTGGCAGGCTCTGCCCCACTGTGAAAGGTTTTTTAAACTCATGATATGGCAGGCAGTCTTAAAAGATTGCCCTATGTCTTCCCACACAGCTTAGTATGAAGGTTAAGGGAGTAGCTTACTGTAGGTCCTCGGGTTGTTGCAAAGGCCTCTTAGTAAGCCCAGCAAGTGAGCTGCCTACCCAACTCCAGCTTGCAGAGAAACCCGTGACTCCCATGTAACCAGCCCTCTTCCTTTTTTCTGTCCTGCAGTCTCCAACTTGTCCCAGTACTTCAGTCCAGCCTCAGTGGCCAACAGCCCTGCCCGTGCCCTCCTGCTGGTTGGGGTTGTCCTCCTGGCCTACTGGTTCCTGTCCCTGACTCTGGGCTTCACCTTCAGCATCCTGCACATGGTGTTTGGCCGCTTCTTCTGGATCGTGCGGGTCATCCTGTTCTCCATGTCCTGCGTGTACATCCTGCACAAGTACGAGGGGGAGCCTGAGAACGCCGTCCTGCCGCTGTGCTTCGTGGTGGCCATCTACTTCATGACCGGGCCCATGGGGTTCCACTGGCGCAGCAGCCCCAGCAGCCCTGGTAACCCCAGCGTGGAGGAGAAGCTGGAACACCTGGAAAACCAGGTCAGACTGCTCAACATCCGCCTCAACAGGGTGCTGGAAACCCTTGACCGCTCCAAGGACAAATGAAGGTTAGCTGGCCGGCTGGGTCCACTTTTACCAGCACGCTCTCTCGGCCAAAAAAAAAGAAGAAAAAAAAGAAAAAACCCATCAAACTCCAAACAATCTTAATAAACATTACTGAGCAAGAAAGTGGCGCTTTGTGGGGGTATTTGCACCTGTATGTCAGCTCTCAGGACGTATTCCAAGAAGAATGAAAAGATCACTTGTGTAGAACTACACACAAAGCGTCATGAGTGGAAAAAATATTTTTTAAACGAAGGATATAACCGTATTGGCTGTACAGTAAGAGAAATTTATCTGTGCATAGAGCATAAAGTTAATTTTTTCAAACATTTAAATACATCTTTTGTAAGGTTTTTTAATAAAGGCAGAGTGTATCAAGTTTATTAAAACTTTGCATTGAGGGCAAGAGTATGCTAATTTGACATTTTAGAAAAGTTTAAATGCAAGTGTTTGTTTTTGCAGCTTAGGAATTGGTGGGTGAGGTCTGTGTGCATTGTTTTCATGTTCCAAAACTGTGAGCTTTATTTTATGTTATTTTTGGTTGATGTTGACTTAGTAAATGTTGTCACTTCTATATGTGGACAGTTGGGCTTGAAAATGAAACTCAACCTCTTTTGGATCCTAGTGACCCCTGCCAAGTCCCTGTCAGTGAGGAGGGATCTTCAAAAAGTTTATGGAAAGATTTGTATCATTTTAAGTCCATTTTTCTACAAACTTTTTGAAGTACCCTTGTATATTTCTATTATTTCTAGAAGACCTGAGATTTTTGTCCCTCTATACTTGGATATGTTTTAACCTCAACATTTCAAAAAGAAAAATTCAAGGAGAGGGCAAAGAAAAGTCTTTGGGCTTGGATACCAAGAGCTATTTGGTTAAGCATTGAAGATCACTCAATCTATTTGATGTCTTGATTTCGCTGTTTGCCAACTAGGCCTATATAGGAAAGCAGTACCCTTGAGGGTTTTTTGTTTATTTTCATTTTGTTCTTGGTTAACTCAGGACCTTAGAAGAAAACAAAAGGTAGCTGCTAATCACATTTTTAAGTCTATTGCTGCTTATAAAGCATTCTCAGGAATAATAAGCAGCAGTAAACAAGCCTTGGAAAAGCTCTAAATTTTTTTTTCCTGAAATTTTTACAATACTTGTGTTAGGTGTTTTTTGTGAAGTCTGTTGTGTCCTCAATTTAGGTGTCTGTGGGGGCAGAGAGTGAGGCAGCGGGGACAGCTGTCAGGGCCCTGGGCAGGGGCTGGTGGCAGTGCCCCTTTGCTAGGATGTTAGGAAAGGAAGCCCATCTTCTCCAGAATGCAGCTTTGTAGGCTGCCAGGGATCCCAAGGGTCTCCATAGTCCTTCCTTGCCACCGGCATGCCCCGGCAGCCCTGTGTACAGATTTTTGGAGACTGTCAGATCTGGTAGAAACAAGACCTTGTGGGTCAGGTATCAGTTTAGAGAAAACTTAGCTGTCTACCAATTCTTGTGCAGGGTTTCTGTGAAGTTTTATTTTTGGTTGCAAGCAGATGTTTTAGAGGATGTTTATGAAACTTCTATTTTTAAGGTGCACATAATGGGTCCCAAACTCTCCTGCATTTGGTTCACTTCCTAAAATGCATCCCTGTTCTCTAGGATTTGCTTGAGCAAATCTTTTATCCATGAGCATTTGAAACACATGATGTCTGTATTGAAGCCATTCCAGTTTCGTCATTTAGATACTTATTGGCAAATCTATTTTAGCACAGGTATAAGTAACTTGGGGGAGGTCATTGTTGTCCTTTTTGGTTTTTTGTAGCTGGCTGGTATACTTTGTCCTTTCTTTTTGTGCATTTGGCTATACCATGTTTAGGTACCAAAACATTGCTTTGTTTAAGTTGGCCAGGAGAAAATTGGCCTTCTGTACACAAAGCCAATGATTCCTGCCCTTGCCTTGGCTCTTTCCTTGTTTGTGGTCATTGCAGAATGCCCAGTGTTAAGTGTTAAACTGTCACTTGACTAGGTATAATATCTACTCCGTTCCTCCCCACCGTCATACCTGAAACAGGAAGGGCACCGCACGCTACTGAGATCTAGGTGGGCTAATCATTTTAACTTCTAGAAAATTGAGGGAGGTACGTGTATCTGGGTGCTGGCGGATTGAGACCACAAGCATCCATTGAAAATTGCTGTTAAATATATGCACCCTTTTTTTCAGTTTGGCTAAATCTAGGCCTTGAAGCCAGTTTTACAGTTTGCCACACTAAAGTGAAAGATGTCCTCTTTGGAGCCGGCCCATGGCTCACTCGGGAGAGTGCGGTGCTGATAACACCAAGGCCACGGGTTCGGATCCCATATAGGGATGGCCGGTTCGCTCACTGGCTGAGCATGGTGCTGACAACACCAAGTCAAGGGTTAAGATCCCCTTACCGGTCATCTTTTAAAAAAATAAAAAAATAAAAAAAAGATGTCCTCTTTGTTAATGAAAGAACCAACAGCTAATTAAAGTGTCACTTCAGGGTCAAACAATATTTGAAATTCTTTTTTTTTTTTTTTTGTCTTTTGTCTTTTTCCGTGTCCGGCAACAGAACGCAACCCTCAGTGTTGCCCCCGTACCGGACCGGGGACCGGTTACGGGATCGCAACCCTCGGTGTTGCTCCCGCGCCTCGCTCAGCCAGTGAGCGGGAACCGGTCTGTATGTGGGATCCGAACCCTCGGGCGGGAGCGCCGCTGCGCTTCCCAAGCGGCGCACTATCCAGTGCGCCACTGGGCCGGCCCCTTGAAATTCTGATAGAAATCCTAGATGCTAGGTCTGAAAAAGTCTTGGTTTTTAATGCATAAATTTCACTTTCGTTTGGACATGTTCTTAACCCCAAATAGTTTAGGATTGTTTATTTCTTTCTCCATTCCGACCCTGCTTAGCTTTCAAGATCAGACGGGATCAGGCGTGTTCAGGTTGCTATGGCCGTAGACTTCATTCTCCATTCCATGGAAGCTTATAGAGAATTTGGCCTCCCCCGTCAACACCCCTCCCCACCAACACCCCCCCATCTCTTTCTTTTCTCTCTCTTTTTTATGTGGGAAAATGTATTTTTGTACCATATCTCATACCTTGAAGAAGAAACCTTTTTTATATCTTCGGGGCTTAGAATATATCAGTGCAACACTTTCCTGGAATGTGACATAAAAACATTCTGATAAAATCTATTGTGGACCTGTTATAACTAAGACTCAGTTTTTAAAATATTTTAAAGTTAATCAGTGTTAATTTCCCAAAGCTTCAGTATCATAATAAATACTCGCTTTCCCAAGAACAGAAAATAGTCTAGAGAAGGAAAAAGGACCAACCATCTCTAATTTCTGGATTAGTGTGGATGTGTTGGGATGGGTGTTTAGAATGATCTCTTCCTTTACATGCTAGCAACAATGCTTTTGTGGGGCATAAGCCTTTCATAAATAAACTTTCCAATACCCATTAGCATGATCTTCCTTTTGGATTTTTTTTGCTTCATGTTTCATCACCCATATCATTTCTGGTAACAAAGTGCAGCAACAGAATTTTCTTGAAAGCTGGCCTTGTGAATTGTGCCTGGGTCTTAATTCATAAAGGAGATGTGAATGCCTCTGAAAGGTTTTTAATACAGTTCCCCTGGAAATGAGAGGCAGGCAGGCCACGTAGAACCACAGGATCAGAGAGATCAGGACCTGGGACTATGACTGTTACTGTGGTGGTGGGAAGTAACCAGGTGGAGATGTCCCCTGTTGGCGACTAAGTGAGAACATGGGAGATCAGGGTTGGTGGTGGAGAGGATTATGCTATGACTTTCTGCAGGGAAGATATAAACAATTTCAGTTGCTTATTGGGTCCTGTGATTCAGACTTACGGAGCGGTTGAGAATAGCAGATGTCAAATAGACAACACGGAATCTAAAGACATGGTTAACATGCCTTGTCGCTGGTGGGAATCCTGAACTGCTTCACTTCTGCAGTCTCTGCTACTTCTTTTGATGAATGAACTCTGCCGTACGGGTTGACACCTGATGACCTCTCCTCGATGGGTCTTGAATTGTCTGACTTAACCGGAAGCCAGCTCTTGCCAGCCAGCCAGCATTAAAAGGAATTCCTAAGGCTCCTAAGTATGAACTTCCCCTCTCCCAACTTTTTTTTTTTAATGATATGTCACTCTCCAGAATTTTTGTTTATAGCTATTTGAGAAGTTGGACTTTTTCTCCTCACTAGTGAATAATAGAATTATATATTTTTTGCAGGATTCTACACAGTACCCTTAAAGTTCGTATTGGACAACCATCAATGTGATGTATAGTATCTGGTATAAACAAACTTTATTCAGCATATGGAATTCTGTATTTTGCTCTTCCTTGATATATAGGAGATGCACCAGTACCAGTTTTTCTCTTGTGGTGTAAAAAAGCTGATTGTCATTTTCATTGTCTACTAAAAACCTGTGGCAGCTAATGGCATTATTGACCATATGTCCTAATGTCTTTTTGCAGATTTAAAGGTTTTATTGTACTGTCAACTTAATATCTGCATGTGTGTTAAATCTCTGAAAACCGTGTAATTAAATTGATTTCTTGTGATGGTGATGGTGATTAGCACACACTTAAAATCCAGTGAAGCAATTATTTCCCTCTTAACTGGAAATCACATTTGTGAGGTATGGTACCCCTTATAAACAGTGTATTCATGATTCAATTCATATTTTGTATATCTAGTTATAAATTTTATATAGCATTTATTTGACACTTAATATTTGATTTGAATATGAATTTAATTTGAATATTGTGGTGTGTGTGTTTATGATGTGTGTGTGTGTACACTTTGGTTCCACGAGCCTTGGGAAACTGATTCTACAAATATATAGACCTAAATGTGTCCGGCTTATTTTTTTTGCAGAGCGATATATACATTCCTCTTATTTATTAAATCACTGGCTTTGGTGTTATGTAGAGGTATTTGTAGATTGACTTCAGAACAGAATTAAAATATTGTGAAATTAACAGCCTAATAAATGTTTATTGTAATTTTGTTGTTTGGTCTTCTTAAATAGATTTCATCACTTCCAGCCGAGCTTTTGTGGGGTTTCCCCAGTTTTAACATATAATGGTGAGTCTATGATTCTACACCCCAATCCGAAAAGAGTCATATAACCTTGAATTTAAGTGTTCATTTGGAGGTGGAGTTGCCAGATAAAATACAAGATGCCCAGTTAAATTTGAATTTCATATAAACAACTAAGTACAGTGTAAGTATGTCCCAAATATTGCATGGCATCTGGCTGGTTAGCTCAGTTGGTTAGAGTGTGGTGTTGGTAACACCAAGGTCAAGCCTTTGCATACCCCTTACCGGCCAGCCACCAAACAAACAAAACCAAAAATATCTAATGGGGCTTCT